CAAGGTACAATGTTGCACCTAAGGTCCCAAATACCTAATATCAAGGCTTTGTTGAGAAGTTGAGGCTATTGTAGGGGCCTCTGAAAAAATACTTGATGTTACAAAGTTCGAGTAAACTTGAACGAAATTAATTTAGTGGGAAGTTCATTTTTTATATTTAAGATGATCGTCGAGAAGGCCCCAAAATCTCGATTTGGACAAGAAGAAATACTTGGTGCCTTCTGATTGGCTTACTTCTTGATCAGAGAGGCTACTTCTTGATCAGGAGAGGTCATTCTAAATCAGTCAAAGCTTTCAAGTGATAGCTGAATTGGGGCTTTAGTTTGTGTGCCAAAGGATTTAGCGAACAGATGAAATGAGAGGAGGAAGGTTCAAAAAGGGCTCTTTATCTGTAACTCTCCTTTAGAACCCACCTCCGATCCAAGGACGCCCTTTGTTCTTCGTCAACGACACATTCCACAAGCGGCGAAACTCTATCAGGTAAGAGGCAAGAGGAAAATCTGTGTTAATTAAAAGGCGATACTCGGCTAGGAGTCGTTTAATTTGAAACTATTCATTTGAAATCCTTGAAGCAAAAGGAATGAAAATGAAGATATTTTTGTTTATATTAAAGTGTTTTTTAGCTAAAATTTTGCTAAAACTACCCTAATCTGTACGATTTTTCACTTGATTAGCTCAATTTTGTTATGATTAACTCGAACCTTGTGATTCTTTCATCGAGTTTCACCAAAATTGAGCTACGTGAATAAGAAACTGGCGGAAGATTAAGGTAGTTTTGACTGAAATTGATTTTATTATATTTTCAGATATTGGAGCCGATCGATCCCGCCATCATAAAAAGTCAACCATCAATAACTCCTAGCAATTTTTAACTTTGCCTATTTCTGCTATATTTTGGCAAGATTTTTATTAACTATCAAAATGAAGCCTCTTTCAAAGGAAACCCTTTTTCGACTAGGTTTCGATTTTAAGTTTTTTGAGAATTTTCCAGCTGCCTTTTGTTTGGTAGCACCTGTGCCGAAAAACTAAAGGTTCTCAAAATTAGACTACGATTTAGAGACTACGATTTAGAATGTGATTTTGCTTGGAATGTTTCACTCAGTCAGATAAAGTGAGTGAAACTCGACTTTGTAACGGGTCTATTTTCTGATCAGCACTTTGGCCCATGAAGAAGCGAGTTTAGCACAGTTTTAAACTAAAAATCCTAACGTAGAACTCAGTTTTCAGCAAGTCTAGTTAGCACCTCACCTTAGAGTGCTTTCCTTTGCAAAAAGGCTCCATTTTGTAATTAATTTCATGAGTCTATTAGTAATTCTGTGGCTTTGACATTTTTGGCATCCTTGGCTTTTGAACTCCACCTAGCTAGTATAGCTACTCCACCTAGCTAGTCACCAGTCTAGCCATATTTCGGTAAAAACTATCTTTTACTTTGATGCTAATGAAATTTTGGTCAGAATGCAAATAAATACGTAGGATGAACTTGCTCAGAAATGTTTGATTCTCAAGAACTGAAGAAATCTCAAATTATTTGCCATTTCTTGTTTCGGCTAGGGCTGTATGAATATAACACAGATTTATTGTATAACATCTATAACACAGATTTATTTTTCTAATGGTGCAAACTGGACTAATTGTGATATCTTCGTTCGCTTGGAAAGAATGTTTTTGCCAAAAATCCGCATTCAAAACCCGACAGCCTAATAGTTCTGAAATCAGAAATAGAAAGGTCATTTTTAGATGCAAACGCTTGCAGGCCGCCAAAACACAGATTTCTTTTAACTCTTTTTCTTGTATATTGACATTTTCTTGGTGTTAACGTGCTGTTTCTTTTAAGTGCCTCATTTTCCAATGCTCTCAAGATCAGTATATGGTTGTTTGTTTCCAAAACATTCTGGGGTAGTGTAGCGTAGGCATTTAGAGCTTGATCCGTAAGAACTGAAGGAATCAGGAGGGATGCTTGTTCAGGGGTAATGTTCGCTCCCACACATTTTCTAACAAACTTTTTAAGCCAGGGCTCAAAAGGAGACGTGACGGCTCCATCATACTCTGGAAGATGGCGTAATACCTCTCTGATGAAAAAATCGCCCATATTTTGTGGTGGGGCTGGGGGTTCTCCCACCAGTGGCTCTTGGACTCTTTCTTCTCTTCTTTCTTCTTGTTCTTCTCTCTTTTCTCTTTCTTCTTCTCTAGCCCTATTCAAATTTTCGATGACTCTTCGAACGCGTTGTAAGTAAATTTCGACGGTTCCCAAGTCCTGAATCTTCTTCCGTCCGTCCTTCCTTTTTTTTTTGAAAAAAATAAATTAAGCAGATAAAAGGAGTAAAATGAGAAAGGTGCAAGGTAACCAAAGTGCAAAGTTTTGATCAACTAGAAGAGCGAGATTAGTTAAAAAGCTACTTGAAACTATCTAATTGGTAATTATTAAGGGTAATTTAATTTCTAGTTAATCTTGGTCCCTCGAAAATTGTTTTGAAGCTCGATTCCTTATTGATGGGTTTATTGTTATCTATTTCATTTTCGTGGACCATCTGTTCGAGATCAAAAATGATATATTATTTTACAGTTACTTGATTTACAGTTTGAAGCAAAACGGTGCTATCATTCCACTTAATGCGGAGGCTTTACAAGATGCGATTTATGGCGTTATTGTTGACCTTCGCATTGTTGACCATCTGTCTAGTTTTCTTAGAGAAAAGGGTGAATAAAGAAAAAGGAAGAATTTGGATAAAATTGAATGAGAGCTTTGTGACGGAAGAAAATATCAATTTCTTTTTTTTTGATATATATTATATAAAATTTAAACCCGTTTTTATAAGAGAAGTAATATGTAAAGTGAACTATAAGGCTTTGGAATTTAAATACTGTTTCCAAAAAGGCAGCCTTCAGACGAAATTTGATTATCGTCTAAGCTTTGAAGGATGAATTTTACATTACTTTCGAAAATTGGGTTTTGAGTTTAAAATTTGGAAGGTTGGATTGTAGAAAATTATGATTGAGAGAGGTAGCAAAAAATTAAATCTTCCGGGGGGACACTAGGACCTAAGAAAACTTGACCGCCCATCACAAACAGCGAAAAAGTGATGGTATTTCAGATATCGAGTAATAAAACCGCGACTTTACCTACAGGAGCCTTAGGCTCAGTCTAGAAGCATTAAATATTTAATTTCGATTTAACGGTCGAAGTTTGGTTATATTCATTTTAGATGGAGCCTTAGGCTCAGTCTAGAAGCATTAAATATTTAATTTCGATTTAACGGTCGAAGTTTGGTTATATTCATTTTAGATGAAGTTGTTATTGGGCCCATAAATTATTACCCTCTGCACGTCATTCTTTTCTTTGCTAAAATTTTGTAAAAATTGAATTTTGATGTTGCTCGGATCCGAACGACGGCTATTACCCTAATAAATTGCTTCGCGCAGAGGTTGGACCTAGCGGGTTGGTCATTCCTTTGCTGAGTTTAAGTTGTCTAGTCAGAAATTTGTGGGGACAAAGAATAAAGTGAATAAGCAATAAAGGTAAATATAACAAACCAATTTCTGACCAAGACGTAAGGCTGGTTGTGTTAGAAATGCCGAATTCTAAGGTGGAACCTCCATATACGTTCCTAGGTGTAAACGGATGTGGACTAGAATTTGTGTTATGTTAAAGAGAGTGGATCCCCTTTTGATATCCCGCCATCTCTAACACCCCGACAACCCAACTCAACTCCTCCAACGTATTAGAGGGGAGTCCCTGTGAAATGACCGACTTGTAGTTGCACTGCAGTTGCATAGACCCGGAAGATACATATCTTTATTTACCGTAATACAATAAGATGAATAGATTAGAGATAAGTGTAAGGGGAAGGAGGGACTCCTAATGAGAGTCTCCCTTGTGCTTCCAGGCAATCCTAAGGACCGCCCCTTCTCGGCAATAAAAGGGATAAGCACAGAGGAGAACACATTTGCATAAGATTAGACAAAGCATTCAATTATAACAATAGTAACTAAAATATCAGTTTGGCGCGGAGCTGACACGCGAAATTTCGGAAATGATTCTTTTTTGAAAACTGGAAACTCTAAACTCTGAAAACTCTTAAAAAGTGTCAAGATTTGAGGTAAAATTCGAAATTTTTAGCTAGAAAGGAATAAAAATTGAAATGATTTCCACTTTAGAGCTTGAGATTCTTGGTTTCTCTTGACATTTTCCTTTGTTTTTCTTGTTTTTCTAGTTTCTCTTGATATTTTCTTTGATTTTCTTGCTTTTCTTAACATTTTCTCGGTTGATGGACATCTGTAGAGACATCACATGAAATTTTGGGAGCTAAGAACCTAGAAATTGGAGATGAGTAAAGCGTAGATAAAATTCGATTATCAGCCGGTTAACAACTGGAGTTGAGTTAAGTTTGATCAAGTTTATCTAAGCCTTATTGGCTATCAATGACTATCTTAGCCTTCTTGAATGATATGAAGAAAGAAATAAAGGATCTGGCAAGAAAGAGATTTTTGTAAGGTAAATGAATTCATTTAAAAATCTATCTTTCGACAAATGACATCCGAGACTCGAGAAGAAGCACATTCGGTCGTAAATTGTTGGGATTGCGTGAAAGATTTTGAATACGGAGATATGATTCTCTACTGTTTTCGATTTTTCCGAGATGGATGGTTGAGCTGTGCGTTTGTGGTGATAGGATGGTTTGCTGAAGTTCAAAAAAATTAGTAAAACTAAAAGGCCCTGGAAGTAAAACTAGTCGAATTTTCTTTTACAATAATCTTTGCCACTTTTCCTGAACCACACGATTCTTCGAAATGAAACCTTTTTTTGCGGCCTATCCAAAAACAAATCTCTCCTAAAGTGGGAAATCCTTTCTGGTAACCTAATTTGTTTATATGACTAACAGGAGTCCCGTTCTTTTTCATTTCGCGAAGCTTTTTGCTTGCTTTTTGAATGTCACCAACCAAAAACTAAAGCTTGATCTGATCCCAAATTGCATTAAAAGCTACTCAAGAACTCTTTTTTACTGTTTTCGAGGTCCTAGAGAATCACTAAACGTTGTCACTTTTTTGATATCCATGTCAAACTCCTCATTTGTATCTGCCGTTGACGTAGTGATAGGAGCATCGGATGAAACCTGAATTAATTTTCTAGCAAATCATGCTAAAGCGCTACATTTTCTTCTGGAATAACTTTTTGGACGAGTTCATCAATTAATCGACTTATTGCCGCCTAAAGCTTTCAGTGTAAAATTTATAAATCATAATAAACTTGATCATCAATGGTTCGAAAGTCAGAAACTTGATGGTCACCTAAAATGTCAAAAAATTAAAAGCCAGTTTATATGGAATATAAGATGTACTTGAATATAATGATTACCATTCTCGGTCGTGTCTCTCTTTGATAGTGTGAGTTCTGGTTTTTCACCAAGAATCGTTAAATTGTCCATTTCTGTAATATTTGATGCCCATTCGGTGGTCACCTCCTCTTTCTCATCAGCTCTTTCAAACAGCGATTCAATTGTTAATTGGTCATCGTGCATGTTTGGGCTATCCTCAGCGTCTTCAAAATTTAGGCTTCTCATGCACCCTTCATTGTCACCGGCGGCACACTTCTGCTCTGTCTAAATAGACAAAGTTATTTTAGCTTCAATTTCTGTTCATTCGTGCCAGATCTGGCAAATATTCCGAAACAAATTCACTTCACAAACTCTTACCTCTTTCTGCTGATTTCTCTTTCTGCTGATTAATTTCATTAATTTTGGGCACTTCATCCAAAAGAGCATGCTAAATAAATCAATTTTTAAAACACCATTTACAAGTTACTTCATCCAAGTCATCAGTGATAATAATACAATCGTCGTCAAGCACACTTTCGTCGACCAATGTGTTGTTGAAAGTGTGATGCTCTAAAGTGAACATTGAATATTATTTTCTTGCCAAGCACAGACCTAATTCATCAGTTTGCATCGTTTCTTCAAAGCTCAAAAAGGTCGAGTCCATATTTCGTATTTCGCTCATACAAATTTCGACTAAAGGATTTCCGTATAATAAATTTCTTGTCGTTTTCATATTAATAAAGGTATGTACAGTTCAACAACAAATTTAATATGTCAAAAACTATGTATAAAACCATTTATCTGATAATATAGCAACTTTATCTTATTTGGTGAAGAAGAGATCTTTGCTGAAAATTTCTCGTCCTCTACACCATTTGGTGTAGAAGAGATCTTTGCTGAAAATTTCTCGTCTTCTACACCATTTGGTGTATTAGAGATCTTTTTCGAGGTTTCTTTCACTTCTTCACCAAAAAGCAGAAAACTTCGGAAATTCGATTTCTCTTAGAATAACATAGGAGAAATGCCTTACCTACTTTTAAAGCTATTCAGATTTATAAGAACTTATAGCAACTTTATCTTATTTGGTGAAGAAGAGATCTTTGCTCAAGATTTCTCGTCTTCTACACCATTTGGTGTAGAAGAAATCTTTGCTGAAAATTTCTCGTCTTCTTCACCATTTGGTGTAGTAGTGATCCTTGCTCAAGATTTCTCGTTTTCTACACCATTTGGTGTAGTAGAGATCTTTTTCGAGGTTTCTTTCACTTCTTCACCAAAAAGCAGAAAACTTCGGAAATTCGATTTCTCTTAGAATAACATAGGAGAAATGCCTTACCTACTTTATTCGAGCAAAAAATAATTGATTCGCTGATTCGCTCTACAGATGCCCATCAACCGAGACTATCAAAATAGTCTCAGGCTCAGGCTCAGGCTCAGACTAGAGTTAGTTACATTCAGGTGATATTTTATACTTGCTTGGAGTCAGTGGAAATACCAGATCTAGTCCTTTAGTCAATCTCTCAGCTCGCTGATCGTTTTTGCTCAAAAAGGTTGGACTTATTTCCGAGAAACAACACCCTTTGACAGCTTATGCTATACATGAACGCTGCAAACTACAAGATCAGACTACAAACGCTTGGAGAAATTCGGCTATTTTATTTTATTTTAATGGCTATTTTAAAGAATTATTTTTACCAAAAAATTGAGCCAACTTTTGACTTCCGAATGGCACCAAGATCAGGCAAATCCACCGTCAAGTTTGGCATTATTTTTTGTGGCACCGCTGAGCACTTCTGGATAATTTTTTGAACTTATAGTTAATCAGAACCTTCTAATAAAATTTTTTGAGCAAAAGGGATTTTCCGCTTTCGCAGAGATCTTTTTTTGGATAGGAGATAAGCCGCAAAAAAGGTTGACATCTCGAATCTCAAAGAATCGTGAGATTCGGGCAAAGATTACTGTAGGGAAAAAATTGAAGGACCTCTAGCACAACCTCTATGAGGTTGACAAATTTTGTTTCCTACGACAAAAATCCTTGTTTTTAGTCTCACTCACAAGAACAAAACCAAGACTGCTTTAATGGAATCAAAGAAGCGGATGGGCACAACAAAATGCTGGGACTGACTCGTCCCGAATTGAAACGGGTAAAAATAATTACCGTAAATACTGTAATTGGACCCCATGGGGTATTATTTTTTCCCTCCCCCTCTAGGGTGGGGTACTATTAGAGGGTGGGTTACTATTTTACACCACTATTCAAGTTACCAAATCAGGATACATTAAAATAATTTGTTCAATAGCAAACTTTTTCTTTGGTTTTTATTGGTTTTTTGACCATTTGGAAATTTAACAGCAAAAAAACAAAAAACAACTAACAAGCAAAATCAATAGAAACATCCGAATCAATGAATTCATCATTTTCTTGATCATCAATTCCTCGATGTCCTTGAAATTCCGTCGATGCGAGCGGCTCCAAGAGGTCCTCGATTTCCGTCTCTGTCCGAGCATTTCTCATCGCCTGTAAGTACAATAGATTAAAGATAATTGAATCGATTAAATCGATAATTACAAAGATAAATAAATTAATAAATCGAACCTGCAATCCTGAAGGAATCGGTCCATCTGGCTTGAAACAATTAATCAAATCATCTTCATCTCCATTTAAGGCAATGCCGATCCCACAAGCCTTGAATGATTTTCGAATCATGTCTTCGGTAATTCGCCCCCACGCTTCCAGGATCCAACCCAAGTAGATTTCCATTGATGGAGACTTGGGGTTCCCGCCGCCGGTGCCGTCTTTTTGTGATCGCGTCAAATCGGGAGCCGATATCAAGAACCAATCCTCGTATTGCTGGCGAATGTAGGCCTTCAATGGGGCATTCCATGAAACGTCGGCTGGCTGAAGATATTTTGTCGTGCCACCGGGAACATAGACACAATCCATCTTTAACTTCTCTAGACATTCCTTTGTCGATTCACTTTTGTGGGCAGGGTGTTGATCCCAAACAAGGAGTGATCGTTCCTTTTTATTGAAGAATCCAAGTCTACCGAAAGAGCGTTGCAAGTATTCCGCCGTGATTCCATTATCGAAGTACTTGTTTTTTTTCTCTTTCCAACAGAGCAATAACTTTGATTGAAACTTTGTCTCGATTTTTTGTCCATCGTTTTTCGAGGCATCACGACAAAAGGGCGCAACTTTTTCCCATCAGAACGAGCAGTGAGCATCACGGATATATTCATTTTCTCGTAGCCGCGGGTGAGAACACCAACTTCTTTGGCTCCAATCGCTTCGATGCACTTGCTCGTCAAAGCATCCAGCCAAACCGCCGTCTCATCGCAAGGAACAATGTGCTTGTAATCGCCTTCTTTGATTGTCTTGTTCAGCCTCAGAATGTGCTCGACGATGGCCTTCTCAAATTCGCTTGGCAGCTTTTGACAAGTTGTGGGTGCCCTCAAAGAAAGTTGGTGGCGCCTCAAGAACGACTCCATCCAGCCATGACTTCTTTTGAAAGAAATTTCAGCTTTTTCGAATCGATTGGCCGCTTCATTCCAGATAATCCGGCGTGTCACTCGTTTCTTCTCGGCTCGACGATCCCGTATCCATTCAGCCAAACCGATATCAATCTCGTCCGAGTTCAAGTGGCGTCCAGCTCCATTGAGTCTCTTGCGTCTTCCATGGACGTTCTCAAGCTCGATTTGTTGTTTGATGTAGGAACGCACACATTTTCGTTCAATGTTATAGAATGCAGCGGCTGCTTTGATCGAAACATCATTGCCCATCTTTGCAACAGCCAATTTCGTTTTCACATCAATCGCCTTTTTCTTTTTCTTTGTAGGTAGCTCATCCGACTCACTTGAAGATCCTTCAACTTAAGCGTTGACCGAGCTCCCATTGGCTCGGCTCGTTCATCACGCGGTTCTTTGAAGAATTCCCTGTGTTCTTCGTATTCGCAACGAGCCCGATATTCCTCAAATCCATCGAGCGATCTTCTATCGAGATTCATATCTGAAAAAATAAAATTAATAAAGTAATAAAAGGCGGGGGTGGTTACTCTGCGCCAAATTCTTTGCGCAACTCGCCATAGCTTTCTGCTAATCTTTATGATTTTGGTGTTACATTGCACTTGTTGAGATCTACAATCATAAAGCTTGGCCCACTTAGAAGAAAGTTATGGCAAGCTGTGCAAAAAATTTGGCGCAAAGTAGCCAGCCCAAATTTAAAAACAACAAATTTATGGGATAAAATTAAAAATACAAACGATTTCTGAAAATACATGAAAATTTTCCGCTTTAAAAGCGTTGTTTGTAATTACGCGTTAGGTGGGGGTGGGGTACTATTAGAGGGGTGGGGTATTATTTTTTCCCTCCCCCTCTAGGTACTATTAGAGGGGGTACTATTAGAGGGGGCACTATTAGAGGGGTGGGGTCCAATTACAGTATTTACGGTATCATTTTAAAGAAACGTTAACAGTAAAAAGTCTTACGCTGAGGGCTGAAGTTTAGTAAGCAATGGGTATCGTTTAATACTAAAAGCAGCCAACATTTTGTGTTTAGTATGTTCATGCGAGACTGAAGCTTGTTGCACCAATAAGGAATGCTTGACGGAAAGCTGTAAGTTTTGGTTTTTTCAAAAATGCAAATCCTTTTATAGCTTAAAACAACGACATGCAACTGACGACTAAACGATCAAAACATTAAATAACAAGTTTTCCGATGTATTTATCTTTGCAAAAGACATGAATGAGAAGGTAGCTTTTCAATACTCAATACTAATCTTTTTCCTTTCACTAAGCTTTGACTTGTTCAGCAGAGCTTTGATTTGTTCAGCAGAGCTTTGATTTGTTCAGCAAAGCTTTGATTTCTTCATCAAAGTTGACTTACTTTCCCAAAAAGGTAGTTCCATTAAAAAGTCTATAACTCAAGATCTAATAGTCGAATCAACTAGCAGTTATTTTTATTAGAATCTACACAAAATTTGATAGAAATGTATTATTGGTTGTGCAGATTTACCAAGTAAACATCGGGCAAAATAGGTATTAAAAGGTTGCACCCTACCTTTTTGAAGGCTACCCCATACTTTATGAGAGAATGGTACCATCCTCAACAATTCTGTTTATCTCCACTTCCAGTTGATCGATCAACTTGTGGTTGGTCTTAAAATGTAGCTAACGAAATTCTATTTTACAAAACTATAGCTTAGGTAGTGAGCTTTAATATAAAAACATAGAGAAATCTTCGGTCAAAGTTGACCTACTTACTTCGGTCGAAGATTCCCCTTTCTTTTCTCAAATCTCAAGTCTATCCATGTTTTGATCTTCTCAGTCTTTCTTTCTCTCTTTCTTTCTTTCTTGCTTTCTTGCTTTCTTTCTTTCTTTCATTTTCCTATTGTATTAGCTCTAGACACTCTGTGCCAAAAGTAAACGTTTCCCATGGCTTTCCGATTAAAATTTTTGTCCTGTCCTTTTTCAGAGATATCATTTCTCAAAATAACTTATCTATTTTTAAATCTAGATAAGAACTTAGGGTAGATTCTCATACCGTAAATACTTTAATAGTACCCCTTCAAGTTCATCAAAAAATTTGGAAAGAAACTGGTTTGAGCCGTGAGTCTACAAATGTCATTAGATTTATATCATTTCTAAAGAAGAATAATAACTTGTTTTCTAGTATGAATCTTATTAGATTTTATTTAAAAAATTGTCCATTTAAAAATTCAAACAAAAACTGTCCTAAAAATCATAAAAATAAATAAAAAATGTCTTTCCAATGATCAAAAACTTGTTGTTTTGTCAAAAAAGTTTTAAATTTTTCATTTTACTAAATCTTTTTCTCAAAAAAAAATTAATCAATTTTGTTTCAAAAAAAAATAAACGAAAATCTTTCTGCTTTCTAATTTTTAAGCCCAGAAAAACGAAGTTGAGGATGTTAGATCTTGAGTTATAGACTTTTTAATGGAACTACCTTTTTGGGAAAGTAAGTCAACTTTGATGAAGAATCGATCAACTGGAATGAAATTCTCGAATTTTTTCGGAAATTTTCGGACAAAGTTCACCTACTTATCTGAAAGGGTCAATTCATTTATGACTCAAGCTGTAAGAGTTCAATTGACTTCTGCTTACTATCATTGGAATTTACGTTAAATTTCAGTAAAGAAATGTGTAATTTGTTTTGTAGACTTACGAATAAAATTATGGAGAAAATTAAGGCCAAAGAACAACTCGCGCATGCGCGAGTTGTTCATAAAATCGTTGAAATTATGAACAACTCGCGCATGCCCGAGTCTTGCCCCCAAGATCTTGGCCCCAAGATGCCATGATCTTGCCCCCAAGATCATCTTGTCCCCAAGATCATCTTGCCCCCAAGATCATCTTGCCCCCAAGATCATCTTGCGATTGCATTGCGATCGCATTGCGATTTTAGTCAAGATATTCACGATTTCCTTGACTAATATCGCATTGCATTTTAGTCAAGATTTTCACGATTTCCTTGACTAATATGGTATGCGATTTTAGTCAAGATTTGAATGGCAAAAAGCCTAAGCAAACTCTAGGTTTTAAGTGCAAATTCGGATTCTACATAAGATTTGGACCTAGAAAAAGTACTTTATAAGATATTGAGTAAAGGTTTTCTTCCCTTTTAATATGATCTTCATACACTGTACTAGGATCATATAAAATCGCAATTTTATATGATCCTAGTACAGTGTATAAGGATCATATTGAATCCTCTTTTTTTCCACCATATCTTCACTTCCAGTTAACCGATCAGCTTGTGGTTGTTCTTAAAATGTAGCTAACGAAATTCTCAAATCTCAAAGAAGAAATCTCACGATTCTTTGAGATTCGAGATGTCAATCTTATCTTCTATCCAAAAATCTATCCAAAAAAAGATCTCTGCGGGAAATCCCTTTTGCTGACCTAATTTGTTTATATGACTAACAGGAGTTCCGTTCCTTTTTCATTTCGCGATTGCAAAATCTCATCATTCCCTTCTAAGTTCAAAAACTTATCCAAAAGTGCACAGTGGTGTCAAAAATATAATGCAGAACTTGACCAAATAAAACAAAGGGCATAAGCTGTTAGAAGGTGTTGGTTAGGGAAGAGTGTAACGAGTCTTCTCTTTCCCTCCATATCTCCACTTCCAGTTGAACGATCAAATTGTGGTTGTTCTTAAAATATTCCTTATAAAATTTCCTACTAGAAACTCACAATCTCCTTAGCAACTTTAGAATAAAAACATAAAGAAAATCGTTAAATTCTTGACTAAAATCGCAATGCGATATTAGTCAAGGAAATCGGCTTGACTCTCCAAAAACCCTTCCCCGGGTTCTCGGACAATCTTCAAAAACCCGACCCCGCTTTTTTTCTTTTCACTTACATCTCGAGTTTGTAATTCAAAGGTTAGCCAAAACTTTCCTTCTTTGATCATTTGATTTTAGACTGGAAAGTGCAAGTGTAAAGCCGGTTTCTACGGGCCTTTCTGCAAAAGACCGTGTCTTTTCGGCTTTTTATGAACTTTGGTGAGAAAAGTTGTCAAACTTTACATTCTATCTGTCTTTCCAATCACCTAAATAGCAAGAATCAAAGCAAGGCAAGCAATTTAGTGTGCAAAGAAATGTTCATGTGCAAAGAAATGTTCATGTAATCCATCTGATGGAGAATGCTCGCCCGAATGCGCGCCCGGTTTTGTTGGAGGCGATTGTTTACGGAGCAGGAGAGCTGTTTTTAGAATTCAACTATTATTTGTAGAGCACTAGTTTTAGACGTAGATTGACTAAATTCTCACTTTTCACTTGTAGGGTGCATTCCCGGTCGTGGAGCGTAAACATGGAGCGATTTGTGACTCAAAGAATGGAACCTGTGAATGTCCACCTGGATATTACGGAGCAACTTGCTCGGAAAGTTGGGCTTGTCGTTTTATAATAATTTGTAAGCAAACTATAATTCAACCATTTCTCTTCAGTTTGCCCCGCAGGCCGTTACGGGTGAGAGTGCATGCGCATTTGCAATTGTCACAATGGGGCCAAATGTAGTCCAGTAGATGGAAGGTAATCTTTCACAGATGTTATTAAGAATTTATCGAATCAATTGCGTAAAAATGTGAACATATGTGAACATAATGAAATTAGTAAATCTATTATCAAAAACTCCCGTTATAAGTCGCATAGTACAGTGTCTTTGAAAACAAATCCCAGCTGCACGTGTCAACACGGTTATACCGGGAAAAGCTGTGAGATTGGGTGTCCTCGGGGTACTTTTGGAGACAATTGCTCAAAGGTGATCTATCTAAATCCATTTATGATTTCCCAAAACAATTTCAAACATTCAGGCTAGCCTACCTATAAAACAACAATATTCTAGCAATGTGAATGTGCCGATCATATGACGTGTGATCCAGTGGACGGGGAGTGCATTTGCCCGCCCGGGAAAAGAGGACAAGATTGCTCTGGTATAATTTAAATCTGAAAAGAATATCTAGCCTAAATATCTAATGTCTATGCTTTATATTCAAGACTTTATGACTAAAAATCTCTTTAGAAAACTGCTTTAAAGCTGCCTTATATGTTGTCAACAAGAACAAATGGCATCTTTCTACCCTTTTATATCTTTTATATCTATCTTAAAAAGAATATTTGTCTTAAATTTGTAGTTTGTCTTAAGTAGAAGCTAAAGTAGAAGTTTATTGTAGAAGTAGCTACAGTAGTAGAAGTGAAAGTAGAAGCCACGGTGGCTTATCGTAAGAAATTACCGTATCAAATACTTGCCATTTCTATGTCAAATATATCAAGTACAAATAAATACTTGCCATTCTATTAGCTGGATGATCATTCAATATCTTACAGCCCCGACAGTCAAAGGATGCACCACGGGCCATTCCCCGATTTGATCACGGAGTGGTGTCTTGAGGTAGGATTGAGATATAGATAAAACAATATATCATTCTATTTAAATCTAAACCCTAATATCTAAATCCTAAGATCTACATTTAAATATGAAATATCTAATATGCTCTGCATACAGAACAATCCACTCCTCCACTCGGACCCGTTAATGTCACAAGCCGGAGGCCCATCGTCAAACCTTGCCGTCAGCCAGATGAGCCATGGTCTCTCGTGGGATCCCACAAATTTCAGGTACGATGAAGAGAAAATGGAGTATGTTATATGCAATATAGAAACATGCGATACTTTGCTCCCTAGAAGTCGAAAATCTTGATTAAGCCTTGTTTAGATCATCCTGAAGCTACCTGAAGATGAGCACCTACCATTGGTTGTACAGTCAATAGCGTTGTCCAAGGGCACTGTGCTGTAGTTAGAGATTTAGAAGTTTAGAAGATATCTGATATTTAAATTCTACCCTATCTGAATTCCTCAATTTTCAGTCCCGACCCGAACACCGTATCGATGCACGCCAATCACAATATGGACTATTCATAAAGAACTCCGCTTGCCATTTAGACATCCTGGACACGCTTGTACATAAGTGTGTCCAGTTTCATTCAAAGACTTGATACGCATTTTCGTTCCCAATACTAAGCTGTCAATTTTAATCGTCTATATTTTAAAGTTAATAAATCTTAAAATATCTCTTATACAAACTCTATAAGATCTTATACAAATAAAATAAACTCTCTTATACAAATTGCTTTTTAAATTTGCTTTAAATTTTAAATTAAAATTGCTCTAAAAACCTTGGATTTTACCTTGTAAAAAGAATATTTGTCTTAAATTTGTCAAGCTTTGGCGTTTTATAGCGAAAGCTGAATCCAGGACAGATCAATCTCCAGAAATCTACTTTTCCTTGCCAATCTCTTCACTTCTTTATATGGATTAAGGTCGAGGTCGAGAGTTCAATCCGGAAAATTTTTGTTATTTTAAAAGCTCAATTTCATGACAGAAAAACATGGTGGCTTCAAACTTTCAAAACCAGATTTCTGAAATGCAGAAAGCTGAAATGCGAAATCAAAGCAAAATCTGCAGCACCTGTGGGGGCTAAAAGAAAGTTTTCGCACTAGAGGAAAAACTTTCTTCAAAGCTAAACTTTTTTCAATCTCTTTTCAAATATTTTATCTAGAGATGATAACCAACATGTTGAATGTTACAAACGTATTGCTGCATTTGCTGAGCTCCGTGTTTTAAGTGACCTACTGAACGTCGGAGATCCTAATAGGAATTTATCCTGTAACTTTTTACACATTTTTACTGGTGTCTACTGGTGTCGTGGATAAGAGTCTTATTTCCAAAGCAAGCTATCAATCTTTTGATCGGTTTCGATTCCTTTCTTTTGTTTTGATTTTATTTTGATGTTTAACCGCTCGGTTTAAAAAACTTTTACCGAGAACTTTCTTTCCAACTTAATAATATCTGTAAGCAGAAAATGTTTCGAAAGACTTTTTTTCTATTGAACGATTTTTTCTATTGAAAAACCCTATCTTTTTTTACAAAATGATTCTCAAGTGTTTTAAAAAGCGCTTACTTTGAGCCATTTCAAGAGGCAAAAAGGAAAATTGTCAAATTAATAGAAACGATGCGATTTGATCCCTTTCTTCTCAAGAAACCTATTTTGGTGTCAATAGAAAAAAGATAGAGCATAAAAATTTAAAAGTATAGCGAAATTTCAGAAAAATTCGTCCCAACGTTTTTTTTCCTTTCTTTTCTAAGAATTTACTTGTGATTTTGCATTTTTTATATCACGTTGGAGAAAACAAAGTTTTCTCCAACGTTTGCTTGAAGAAAACTTTTAAAAAAAATAATGAGTAAGAGATACAAATACATAGTGCTCACATATAACTCACATACATATACATATAACTTCTGTTGTACAGTAACAACTAGCTGACCAATATTTATTTGCTCCTTTATTTAATTGCTCGTTTTTTGTCATTTCAATAAATTTTTCACAAAACCAAGGTAATAAATCAATGACAGAATAAAAAAATGAAAACGATGATTATAACGATCGAGCCAGCTTCGGTGACATAGCAGACTGATGGGAAGTCCAGTTTCATGTACTCGGTATTGCCAAACTCTTGGTCTTGCCTGCAAAAGATTGAAATTTAAAATGAACAAGGTACTACGCCTGTTGGGGGGCACTTTTTTCCTCAAATCCACTCTTTCTGGAGTATTTTTATGCCTAGATCCCGAAAAACAGGACGAGAGCGGGGAAACGGCGTTTTAAGCCAAATTTCGGGGCTCTAAGGTGCATGATCCTGCGTTTGTTTTAGAGTTTTAGATTGGTGAAATGAGAACTGCCGTCTTTGCGTCTTGGTGTGAACACTGCAAGCTGTAAGAAAAATAGTTTGAGAAAGGCTTATAAGATTTTAGACATTCGAGCCAATATGCAGGAACAGCAAAGTTTGAGGCGGTTTGGCTCGCCTCTCCTAAAAGAGACCGCACTATCTTGAACGGCCAACAATTATAGTTGGCTGCGCAGAACAAATGAATTTTTAAATTTTACAAAAGAGTACAAAAATAGTCCAGTAATCAATTAAGCTCAAAATTTCCAGAATCTCATCCGATAAATGCATTAACTTGAGCTTGGCAAAAACCATTTTGCTAAAAGCAGCAGCAAAAAGCAAAAGCAAAAAGTGCTGATGATCAAGTCAAGTACTTTTGTTATAATCATTTTCATTTTCATTTCATTAAAGAAAAAAGTTCCAATTTTGTCAATTTCTGTGGAATAGCTAAAGATTCAATAAGAGACGGGTAAAGGGCATAGAAATGAAAAAGAAAACAATTTCAACTAATGAATCGATTGAAACAGCCGCTAGGTCACGAATTTAATTGAAGGCTTCAAAATCGTAAAGCGCAGGCACGCCGATTTTATTGAAATCCTCAAATCTCTTTAGAGAGATAAAGAACTGTATTTAAAGGGGTAAAGAATGATTCAGAAAGTCTAAATAAAATACCATATTTAGAAAAAAAGAAAAATATCGAACATGTGCTCCAACCATTCCCATATTGGACCTAAAGATTAGTTAGTTGCAAGGCAATAATTAGTTACTTGAGGAATGAATACTTTTTTACTTATGCCTCACTTTGCGCATTTTCCTTGAAGGTAAATCTTAGCTGGAAAGTAGAGTATTATGGGATCCGTGGCTAGACATGGGCACAGAGGGGTTTAATATATAGCCCCGATAATCGGGTCTAGAAATGAGTTTATTTGTTTGAAAATCTCTCAGGGAAACGATTTGGCGAATATATTTCAATGAACTTTGATACTAAATATGGAAATTTCAATATTTTTGCCATATTTTGCAATTATTGTGTCTGATATAATGCTGAAGATGAAGACAAAGTTTAAGGGAATCTTCCAAATTGGGTGGGGAAAATCAAGAATCGATTTCTTCCAAATTGGGGAGCAAGATTTCTTCCAAATTGGGTGGGGAAAATCAAGAATCGTTCCGTGATGGATGAGGCTGAATGAAAGCTAACAGGAAAAGAAAAAAGGCAATAAGCCATGAAAATAAATTTTCAGAAAATCCATTTTATCTAATCTAATCTTTTTCTATGGAAGCTTGCAACTTAGGGTTCAGAAAAACCCCTTTACTCAAAAAGTTGTTTTCGAAAATTTTTAGAATTTTAACAAAATTTTAGGTTATAAATTTATCTTCTTAATTTGTTGTGGGGTAATGGTTGTGTCCCACCGAGGAAACCCACTGGATTTTACATGGATCAAGATCAAGCGGAAACAGAAACAATAGAATTTTCCTAAAACATATCATTCATCTTCGTAAGGGGCACCGGTTTCACTGTCGGCAACCTAAAAATTCTTGTCATTTTAAGGTTAACCGATAGACATTTTTTCCTTTAAACCCCAAAACCTTAGCCCGTAATGTTTACCGTCAAGTTAAACGATATCCTGTAATGTTTACCTCCATTCCCAACAATCTTGCCATTTTATTACAAGTTTTCGACATTTCCCATAGTGTGACTCCGAATGCCCAAACATCTGACGGTTCACCATATCGCTGCCCCTCCAACGCTTCTCTTGACATCCACCGAATGGGCAAACGACCTCGGTGCATCATCTAGAAAATGAAGAATATAGATTTTAATGAAAAAAGTTTGCACGGTGATTTCTCAAAAACGCCACAAATTCCTGAAAGTTTTGTCCTTTTTAGGTTTCTCTTAAAAGTTTCCTAGTTGATTTTATAGCCAAAAGATAGCCAATTTTTTTACAGAATTTTATACCTGATCTCTCATTGTTTCATTCGTCGAGATTTAGTGGCAAGGAATTGTTTAGTTGATGAGAATCGACTGATCAAAGCGTTGACATTCGGGATGATGAGATCCGCGTATGAGGGGGATTATTATACGGTGAGTAGGAAAATGGTTGTACTAGATTGTACGAATTTGAATGATTGTAATGATTCTAATGATTATAATGATTGTAATGATTGTAATCTCCAATTGCGAATTGTTTATTTTTAACAATGAGATTTACAAATAGTTACAATATTTTGTTTATTTGCCACATCATAAAACTTGAATAAAATGAACAAAGTCTGTGCTGGTTGAGTTCTGCTCCACAAAGTTTTAGCGACTATTTAGAATGTCTGGCAAATCTTTGAGCTAATCTTTCTACTGATAGGCTAGACTAACCAATACTGAAAAAATTGTCCCGAATCGGCCCTGAATGGGTCCCAAATCGGAACCATGGAACTTGTGAATGTCCACCTGGATATTACGGAGCAATTTGCTCGGAAGGTTAGGCTTGTCGTTTTATAATAATTTGAAGCAAACTATAATTCAACTATTTCTCTTTAGTTTGCCCCGCAGGCCGTTACGGGCGAGAGTGCATGCGCATTTAATAAAGCGAGAAAGTCAAAGTAAAGAGATTCAGCGAACTTTCAAGACTTTAAACTTTCAAAGCACAACCCCACCTAAATTTTCAGAGTCAAGGATCATTAAGTCAAATGCAGCGTGACTTTTTGAGATTCAGTGATATCACACTTTCGTCAAGAACACCCTCTGAATTTGTCAACAGCAATTCTTATTGATTACTGATTCATTACTTTTCGCTGAAGAGATGAAAATGTTAATAATTTATTGTCTTCATAATTAATTCAGATTCTAATACAAAGCTATTTTGAAAATGGGGCCAACTTCTTTGATGCTTTATTAAAAAATGTTCGTTGTTTCATTAAAACTTATCGGAGTGTTTTGGATTTACGATAGATGTTAGGACAGAAGTTTTGGGAACGAAGTAGCCTCAACATTAATTCGCGACACTCTTTTCCTTTAAAAATAGTTCAAAAATAGAACGTCACTTCAAAGATTTGATTTTAAGCCTGAAATAGGTCTTATTTTAAGAATCCGCCATCAAACAACATTAATTCTCGACGATCTTTCGATGACTGTTCTAAAAGCGCTTGCCGCCTCCACTTTTAGGTTTGATCTTACGACATTGCTCCTAAAATAGAATGTATAGTACCCATCTGTCTAAAATAAATTTAAAACAAAAATTTTTGATAATGGGCACTGTAGACCGAAAGCCTCTAGCCGAATATTTGTTACGCTATGTTTATACGGTGTGTTTTGAAGTTGTTTCCAGGGCACTTGGGGAGCAAGCGTCAAGCTAAAAGACATCCTCTAAAAGACATCTATTCACGAAACTACCGCAAATCAGACAGTTTTCCTATTCAATAAACAGATGCTTAAAAAAAACCTCAACACTTTATTTTAGGCTTAAAATCAATCTTTGAAGTGACGTTCTCTTTGTGAACTATTTTTAAAGGAAAAGAGTGTCGCGAATTAATCTTGAGGCTACTTCTTTCCCAAAACATCTATCCTAACATCTATCATAAATCCAAAACTAATTCTTAACACTAATATTTTTACAAAAAGAAAGCTCGATCTGAAGCAATGGTCCTAAAATAGAATAATAATGAAAGTTTTCGGGCTTTTCGGGCTAAAGAATGATAAGACATTGAAACAAACAAATGTCCACGCCATAGTTTTTTTTCTTCCTTTTACTCGAAACATCATCAGGTAGAAATCCTGCCACTATTTTACTTCAGCATTCAAAATATTGAAAAGCTAGGTCATAATCAATAGACTCGTGTTGAGATTCATTACGTATTTATAGACATAAGCATAAAGCCCAGAGCGGTTGCTTGGCTATGAAATCTTTTCTGATAGATGCATCTGAAGAGATCTGTCCAAAGAAATGTAAAAACAAAAATCGAAAAAATTCTTTTCACACTGGTTTGTTTGTTTGCTTGACCTGCGGTTGATTTTTAACATCGGACCCAATGTATTATTTTGCTGTTAGAGCCTAAAAATAAAAAAAATAAAATTGCAGGTTAATTTTAGAGCTTTGAGATAATGTTCACTTTATCTTCGGAACTCCTTGATCTCAAATTCAAACTTTTTAAAATTAGAAGTTTTTATTTCTTGCGCAGCCAAAAACGATGCCTAAAGAATTAATGGGGGAGAAAGCCCCTCCTACTTTCAAATCGTCACTTTCAAAACATTTTCTCTTTTCGAAAGCGCTTCTTAAAAATATGCCTTTTGTTATTTTTTTACAAGTAGAGCATGGGTAATTATTAAGGGAATTTTAGGGTAGATGCGTCCTCTCTTCTGCGCTCTGTTATTGAGGGTTGTGGCTACCGGTTTGCCAGATGGGCGTCTTCTGGAAGGCGGGATTTCTGCTCGACTAGGGGTTCGCTATGCCGACCAGCCAAAACGATTTCAGGTTATAGGAAGGAATGGAGTTTTTACTCAAAACTTTTAGCGAGCTAGTTTGGCAAATGGTTGGAAAGATGAGCAAGGAAACGCCATGGACAAACCAGCAAAGGCGTGTCCTCAAGCAAAATGTTTGTTTTTGGTTTGGCCAGCTAAAAATCAGATTACAGTGATGCCCGGCCTTGAAACAAGCGAGGATTGTCTTTTTTTAAACATTTTTGGACCGACCAATGTCTGATTGAACTTAGAAAAAAAACAAGAGATTTAGCCGCCTCCCGCCTCTTCGCTGCTTCCCGTCATTGTCTACATCCACGGAGGCGCCTATAAATTTGGAAGTGGAAACGAATTTACCGTGGAAAACTTGGGAAATTTATCGAACCATGACCAAGTTATAGTGGTTACGGTGCAATACCGACTGTCAGTCCTGGGTAAGAACATTTACAAATGCAAAAAATGTTTAAATGCAAAAACGTTTAGGCTTTTTCTACCCGCATTTTCCATCCTCGAAGTTTCATGCAAATCTTGGACTCGATGACACGCATTTGGCAATTAAATTTATCTCCAAAAATATTCATGAGTGATTTAGAAAAAAGGACAACTAACGAAAAATTTAGGTTTGGTGGGGATTCAAGCCAAATTACATTGATTGGACACTCGGCTGGGGCATGCTCTGCTCATGCGCTGGCTATCTCACCTGCGGTGGAAAAAGGCACATTTACTTTTTTTAAAATAAAAAGGCAGCTTTAGCACTTTTCAAGCGAGTAATACTGATGTCAGGTGTTTTGGAAATTTGCTTTAACGGGACTGGAAGTCCGGCGTCCCCAAGTGCCACTGCGGCTCAAGAAGTACCTTCGTCCTTGTTGCTAAAAATCTCACATTTAGCTTTGCAACGCCAACTTGTACGACCCCTACGACAAGCACTTTGAGGAGCTTCTTTACAGATGCCTTGCAAATGCCCCTCTGGAGGCGCTAGAGCAAATCGATCTGGTTAGATTCGTTTACCCGTTAGCATTCTCTTGACCCAGCTCGTTTCGAGACTTTAGAGAAAGATTTTACTCGTTTTCCAGAAGCAGGAAAAAAATTGGGTTTTGTTTGCCGATGGGTATTACTTTCCCAAATCTGGTCACCAATCAATGGATAGATCAAGCCGTGGACATGACTTTTTGATTGGCCTCACCACCGGCGAATGGGCGTTTTTTGGTCTGTCGCTTCCAAGAAATTTTTCCAAATCATTTAGAAAATCTGTTTGCAAAGTACATGGGCAAGACGGACTACTCTGGCGCTAGATTTCGCAAAACCATCACCACTTACATGGGAATTTCCGACAAACGGCTTAATACTTTGGAGAATTTTTACACTCAAAAATACGACCCGAAGCTGTATTCGACGAGAGCAACGACTAACGAAACAGCGATCACAGCCGAACAATGGTTTTGGTTTGAAGTCGTGGTCAACGTAACGCAGTCTAGTTTGGAATATGTTTATCCAATTTAGTCAATGACCGACCTTGTGTTTCATGTTCCCATAGTCACCGAAGTCGAAAAACTGAGAAGTGCTAGGGTGCCTCCTTCGCTTTTTGTTTACACCTATAACGCGACTTTGGCGGCCCCATCTTGGAATCAAAATCAGCGTGCGTTTTTAATTTTTTGAAATGTCAAATAATTTGACGGTCGGCAATTAGTTAACATGTGTTTAGACGCATCGCATTCAGATGAGCTTCCGTGGCTCTTTGGAGATTTGAATAAAATCGGAAGGGAATCTCCGGGCTACCAAAAAGTTTTGCTCTTTTTTTGCTAAAAACGGGTAGGATTTTCTGATTAGAGCTAAGGATTTTCTGCTTAGAGCTACGGTAATTTTAACCGCAAAAATTTTAAGGCAACTCGGGAACTTTGGAACGACCGGTATCGTTGATGATTCTCGACCCAATAACACAGTTCTATTTGAAAATGTTTTTTACTATCACGAAGCCAACGGCATTGACGGATTTTGCCCTAGGGCGCGAGATTTAATCCAAACACTTGGAATAAACAAGAGCCAAGGACCCAAAAGGGGTAGTAAAGCATAGCCTATTAGATCGATTTTTCCTTTTCCAGAGTTTGACTGCGGCAAAACGAGCGTGGACCCAACTTCTTGGGTATGTCAGCTTGCACAAATAATAAACTTAACACAAAGCACTTTCAAGTGATAAGTTTATGAAACATTTTTAAACAAACCTTTGAAATTTAGAACTTTGGCCCAAGAAATCTTAAGATTCATCAAGGAGTGGATTCTAAAGATTCAAGCTACCCCTATTTTGTTCGCGTGGAACATGTGGATGAGTAAGTTCTTTCCTCGATAGGTGTTCCATAAGTTTCCCCCATAAATTCTGAGTCCGAATGAGGCATTGCAGGTCTAATTTGCAGTTTTAACGATTAATGAACAGTAAGATTTCATATCTCTTCAGTAAGTGACCAGAAGATTTTCAGGAAGAGATTATGAGAAGGAAAGATTTAAGGACAACTAATCTGAAGACCAATTGCGGCGGATCCTATATTGCCCCAAAATGGGTTCTGACGGCGGCAAGCTGCGTCCGAAAAAATGTCCGATGGTATTACTATTTGAGCTACAGGTTCAGGCCAGGCAATAAATTTGAGGTATGACAATGTCTCAGCCAGTAAACAAGTAATCAGGTACAAGCTCAAAGCCAGACTGCTCGTGTTTGGGATCACGGTGACGTCGCTCTCTTAGAGGTGGACCTTAGATATTAGTAGTGAAAAAACCTTATGTTATCTAGCTGGAAACGGATATTGACACCAGTGATGATCTTGGAAAGCGAGTATGCCTCGAAGCCAGGGGCTTGACACTGAAAGAGCCGATGCTCGCTTTTGGAATGGGAGACGGTAAAATTCAAAAGTTGTCTAGCGATGCAAAGCATTAAGGAGAATTTTAGAGATGTTAATCATTGACCCTAAGAAACTCTTTCATTCGCATCTAATATTTAGTTCAGGAGAAAAAGCCAAAGTTCAAGAAGCCATTTTACGTGCCGAATGTCTTGATGAACAAGACACCTTCTGCGGTCGCGGAAAAGCCACGACTAAGGCAAATATCCTTTGAGCTTTCAACATTGCTTTTAGGGAGATTCCGGTGGCCCGCTTGTAGCAAAATTCGGTCAGCTTTGGTACCAAGTGGGAATCATGAGCGACTCGTCCAGCCTTGGATACAGTTATTTTCTAGTGGCCTAAAAATTCCCTTCACTTTCAGCGAGAGCGACTCCGATCACCCCGGAACTTTGCGAGTGGCTCAATAAAGAGACAAAACAAAATAAAACCGTCATTTGCTAAGCCGCTGCCAAAAAATGAATTCGATGAAAAATTTTCGCCCCCCCTTTTGCAATCTTCTGCTTTTGGGTCATCAACTTCCTTCATTCTTCTTGGTTTTTCTTAATTTTTGGGAGAAACAAGCCTTGGACTTTTAAGATTAATAATTGTTTGTTTACTTCACTGTGTTCAATTTGTTTTTTTTTTATCCCCTCTTGGCGGTTCTCTTTATAAGCCAAATATTGGGCCAATTGTTGGTCCAGAGAACCAATCTACAGTGATGTTCTTGATGTGCGTGAAGAATGAGTTGAGCACTGGGCACCCAAAATTTGATTGCAGTTTTATCTTTTGTCCAGAAAACCTTTCAATTCAGTTTATAACAAAAGACACAATGCTTGTGCCTAGCACCGAAAAGATATTCTGATTTTTCGGTTGCAGAAAGCGGCTCCACTGTCGTAGTATCCACCATTAGGATCAGCTAGACACGCAACACTCCCAGTTTACATTAAATCCTAAAGATCTCCGGTTTTAGGTCTCCGGTTTTGCAGGCTCTTTCAGGTAAAAGCTCTGCGCTATTTACATTCAAAAAACTTGTGTTCATAATTAGTTATGAGATCTGGAGAAATGGATCAAAATAATGAGAATTATCTCAAATTTTCTAAGGTTCAGAAAAAGTAGCATAAGATCGCGATCTTTTTGCATAGTTATTCATGCTAAGCCTGGAGTACTCGTGTCTTGCATTTTAAAAGTTTGTTCACAGTTCTAACTAGGAGGCTCTCGAAAGGAGCTTTGAAGGAGATTTATAGGAGCTTTAGAGAAGCTTTACAGGAGCTAAATAGGACTATAAAGGAGCTTTAAAAGGGGCTTTTTAAAAAGCGGTCGGATTTATGGAAAGCTGGAGTTTTAAGATAAAACAACAAGCAATTTTTCGACACTTAGAAAGATACGGAATCGATTGGAAAGGGATGGAAAGGTAGAAAGATAGAAAATCGAATTAAAATCCTTCCATATCTTTCTACTCGAAATTCGATTAGAAAGATATGGAAAATAGGGCGAGTCTTGTTCACAGTTGAAATCTTGGCGAAATTGTTGTTTACAGGGACTGGGCGCCATTTGTTCACAGTTGACTTCTAGGGGCGATTGTCGTTCATCTTGCTTGCTTGCTCATAGTTGACAACTAGGCGCCTTTGCTTTTCACAGTTGACATCTAGGCGTTATTATTGTTCACAGTGGACACCTATGCGCCATTAGTTCACAGTTGACAACCAGGCGCCTTTGTGGTTCACAGTGAACAACTAAAGATAGAAAGATAGAAAGATATAGAAATACATGATTTACTGAAGGGTCTTACTCGGAAGCGTCTTTTCTTAATGTAATCTTAATGTAATCGCCGTATGCTTGACGAGGTCAACATTTGGTCGCTATTTTTTCTGCCAACAAACCCAATCAATAATTCAAAATTGCTCAATTTCCAATTTCCATTCAATTATCGTGAACTATTGGCAGAGCCTTTGGCAGAAATAGCCTCGTCTCCTCCCCCCTGGGCAAGCAGATGTCAAATAATGTATCAATCGGTAGCGATATCAAAGAAAAGATCATTCATTCTCTTCATTTGTCACTTTCAAAATCTGCTCTCTTTACCTATTTTTCAAAATTGCTCAATTTCCCATTTTCCATTCGTGCCAGGAATGTTCCCATTCATCCTTAAGAAATCAAAGGATGAATGGGAACATTCCTTGCACGCAAGGAATATTCCCATTTCTCCTTTGAGTCCTTAATTGAATTGATCTAAAATTGAATTAAAAATTCAAAGTATTTTTAAACGTTAGTCGAATTTTGTCAGATTGACCAAACCAAAAACCCAATCAATAATTCAAAATTGCTCAATTTCCCATTTGAAAGCATTCTTTGGTGAATGATAATGTTTTAAATTTGGTTGACTGTTGTTGTAGCAAAATAGTCAAATAAATTAGTATAAAACTTCTAACTACCGTTACCAGTTTTCCCTTTAGCCCAATTTTAGTCTGATTTTTTGAGGCTTGTGATTTGCAGATTGAATTTGACTAAAATTGAGCTGATCAATTGAAAGCTGAACGGCGAAGACAGTCATTTTCAAAACTAGGTGACCTCTAGAAAGAAAATTAGTGAAAATAATGAATAAAGGTCTATGCAAAGGTTGACAAAAATTGGATGGAGTCGAACTTCTCCATGTGATAGAATTCAATGATTTGGATATCAATGAAAGCATTCTTTGGTGAATGATAATGTTTTAAATTTGGTTGACTGTTGTTGTAGCAAAATATCCAAATAAATTGGCGTAAAACTTCTAATATACCTACATGTACGTCGATTTTTCAAATACCATCGAGTACCAAGATAATCACCGGATTTCTTTTGTTTTACAAAACTCGTAAACGCTTCTTGGCTTAATCAAATTTGTTTTAGTTGCAAAGAAGAAGTTTTCCTGGTCATTCTGCACTTGTAATTTCTTCTTTTAATTTTTTATTTCAAAACACCAACGATCCCAAAAACATCACTTTTCTTTTAGTGGAAAACGGAAAAGTATAAAAAACCCGCACAGGCTGTGGATTCTTTAGAGAAATTTTAAAACAAAGATGAGATATTTTGAATATCAAGTAAAATTGACAATGTTCTAGAAGAAAATAACAATTTGATTAAAGTGGATTGTAAAATTGGACTAGACGAGGAGTGGGACTTTGTAAGGACTTCGTCTAAGGCAAATTGGAACAAGATGAGAAGACACAGATTGAAATGAATGAAAGAATTAGGCTAGTAAGCTTAACAAGGAGACCATTTGATTGATGATTTTAAGGAAGCAAGTTGGAAATGTGAAGGATTTTGTTTGAATCCGGTTTAGAACTGGCTGTCAATTGGAGCACATCGTCGGGGTTTTCCGTGAATACGGATGAGACGGGATTTGCTCGGTTGATGGGCATCTGTAGAGCGAATCACATGGAATCTCGGGACCTCAGCGCCTAGAAATTGGAGATGAATAAAGTGTAGATGAACTTTGATTATCAACCGATTAACAGCTGGAGTTGCATTAAGTTTGATGAAGTTTATCTTAGCCTTATTGACTATCAATGAACCGATAAAATGAAGGAATTGGCAAGGAAAAGTTGTTAAAAATCTTCCTTTTCGCAAAGGCATCCGAGACTCGAGAAGAAGCACATTCAGACTCTCGAAAAGGCACCAAAATCCACCATCAAGTTTGGGATTATTTTTTGGCATGACTAAGCACTCCTATTAGGGTGGTGCAAAAGAAACTGCCCGATGGGTATCAGCTCTCATTTATCATAAACGAGCGATGCTAACGGCATTTTTTTTATGTGGAAAATCTTTCTGCTCATTTTTCTGTGGAAAATCTTTCTGCTCGACACACTGAAAGATTTTTAGTTTTTGTTTACTTTTAAAATACTAAGCTGAAACTTGTTTCATTTTTAATCGTCTATATTTTAAAGCTAATAAATCTTAAAATATCTCTTATACAAACTCTATAAGATCTTATACAAATAAAATAAACTCTCTTACACAAATTGCTTTTTAAATTTGCTTTAAATTTTAAACTAAAATTGCTCTAAAAACCTTGGATTTTACCTTGTAAAAAGAATAAAGTCAAAATCTACTGGTTTTCCATTGGATTTTTTTTGCTATTACTAAGCTAATTAAAAATTCGATTTTTAATTAATTTCAATTGTTTTTTGACGTCAGTAATGGAAAGTATAGTAAAAGATAGGTGTTATTTTAAAGCAAAATGTCTGGAATGACTTGTGATAGAAAAAAAGGAAGCTTTCTAATGAGAAAAAGGAAAAGATTATTGCATCGTCACAGATTAAAGTTTGAGTCTAGACTTTGAAATTCCCATTGTATTGGATGGAGGATTGGAGGAAAACAAATGAAAGACCTGGGGATTGTTCGGGTTTTGTTCAAACTCAGGTTCATTTTTCGTTCGATTAAAGTTAGAGAAATAAAGACGACAAATTAATATGCAAATTATCTAATATAATATATTTTATTAATGTGTTTTCGCACTTTATTTCTTTCTGAATAAAGTATTTATATAAATGATTTATCTATAAATGATTTATTTATAAATGATATAAATTATTCCACTAGCGTTTAGAAATGAGAAACAGATTCGCACCAAAAACTAACAAAAAGCCATTTTTTGAAACGTAAAAACATCCATTTTTGGCTCTGCTGCCCTTTACTTTACTAAAATACTGTAAAATCTTTTAGAAAAGAGATAGGGGTTTTTGTACCCATCGATCTGTATTGGTTCCCCCGGTTTTTCCTCCAGCTAAAAGATGCAAAATGGCGATGGCTACTGCTTAAAAGGGAATTCTAGGGATAAAAGGGAGCTATAAAACGTATAAAAGATATATAAGAGAATTTGAACCGAGAAAGATTGAAGAAAAAGATCACCATGAAAGGCGAGAGTTCAATATTCTTAGAGATTAATGTTTTCAAAAACGAACATGTTGCGGGCTGTGCATTGGCAGATGAATGGGTGGCGGTGGCTGGAGCGGTTGCTGTCGTCGGGGTGTCCGATGAATGGGATTCGATCGATTGTTTGCCCCGATCCTGTGCGATGAATTGTGAAGGCCAAACCGATTCTGAAATGAGTGGTCATAGATCTCTATCTCGAAGTGGACTTATATTCTAAATGTCAACTCTTTACAACCTTATCCTTTTCTTCTAGCTTTTGTTCTTAATGCTTGTTCTTAAACCTGTTTCTGTAGTTTTTTCAAAACTTTTCCTCTGATTCTATAAGAAGGACTGCAAAAGTCATTGATTATCTTTAAAGATTTAGATAATCTTTTTTGCATTTTGCTTTTTTTGACCTAGAGCTCCTTCTTACAATATTTTAGTTAAGTGTGTGTTTTTAAAAACTACCATAATAAACATTTGATTCTTTTCATCGAAAAAATCAAATATTTTCCGAGCTGGTTTTTCTCAAATGGTA